CACCAGACAATACAGTTTGAGGCTCCCTGATAAGACTATCACTCCAATTCAAGTTATAAATCCCTTACAAATGTGGTAAGAAGGTATAGTGAGGTTGCTGGCTCAGACAGAGTATTTGTCTTTCAAAGTCATGAAGGTATTTTCTTGAAAAGAGTAATAGTCTCAATGTGGTAAGCCCTCACATAACAACAAACCCAGGACTCTAATCACAGTTCATAGCTTTCTCTGCTATGCTTTGAAGTGCCCTCCCATGAAACTTGAATCAGAAATGAACTGTAAACAACCCTTTGCAAGGGACATGGGGAGCAGAGAATTGGACGTGCAGGAAATTGAAAAGCAAGAAAAATCTAATCTTGTTTTAAGAAAAGGTTGGTGAAGCGGGGTGCATATACGTATGTGAGGGGACTCCATGCTGACGTTTTCTTAGTGCTTGACTTTTCCCTTTCTTCCTCCAACGATGTAGAAGATGATGGCAATTTATAAAATATTGTTCAGTTTTGCTCTGTGCCAGGCAGCATGTTTGTCTCAAAGGGAAGAAAAATAACAGTTTGCTCTTATTCCCCAAAGAGAGCTTACACACATATTAAAGGCAGCCTCCTCTGGGTGCTGGTGGTCCACAGCAGTTCTTGCTCTGAGGCTCTTTGTTGCCCCTCGGAGGTCATTTGGTAGAAAGCCTTTTGCCCACTGCTCACCCTGCTCAGTGTCTAGGCGGGAGTTTAACATGGAGCTTTAAAAGATTAATTTTCCCAGCACAAACCCTCTAATGACAAACTCACGACTCTCTCAGAGTTCACAGCTGTCAGTTGGCAGGGTTAAAGCCCCATTTTGAACTTAGGAGGCATAACAACTAAATGCAAGGTTATGGATGATTTAGATCATGCAAATAACCCCATCCCTCATATCTTAGAAAATCTAAGAAATTTTAAGATGGATTGAATATTAGATGATGCTAAGGAATTCTTAATTTTGTTAGGCTTTGGTAATATAACATGGTTTGTCAAGAAACTATTCTTCTTTTTAAAGAGATGTAGGGCTAGTGTGATACGATGCTTGGGTAAGGGCTGCCTGGGTGGCTTATTTGGTTAAGCATCTGACTCTTGATTTTGGCTCAGGTCATGATCTTTGGGTCATAAGCTGGAGCCCTGCATGGGGCTCCATGCTCAGTGTGGAGTCTGCTTGAGATTCTCTCTCTCCCTCTCCCTGTGCTCCTCCCCCTGCTCATACTCTCTCTTTCTCTCTCTCTCAAATAAGTAAACAAAATCTTCAAAATACTCTGGGGAAGAAAAAAATAGATGAAGAATTATGCAAAATCTTGACAACTGTTGAGCTTGGGCAATGGGTAGATGGAGGTTCCTTGTGCTATTTTCTTGATTTTTAGGTGTATTTGTGTACGAAATTCCTGTGTTGCCATTGATGAAGCTATGACCTTGGGCCAGTCACTTAACCTCTTTGTGTTCTGGTTTCCTCATCAGCAAAGCAGCCATAATAAGAACCCCTCCCTGGCAGGCATGCTGTGTGGCTTGAACAGGATGCTATGGGTTCGGCCCCCAGCACAGGGCCAGCCAACAGAGCAGGCACTCAACAATTATAGATGATCATTAGTGTTGTGTATGGATGCAGGGTCAGGAAAATATTTTTCCTATCACTTACACTCTCATTGCTGGTTTAGTTGAGCTTCCTGTCTGATCCCCAAGTCAGCCTGGCCTTATATTATGAAAAATGAAAATGTACGCAGGCAAATGCTAAAGCTGACGCTTAAATCTAATTGAATATTGCTCTAATGACACATGAACTTTCAGATGACAGAAGTCACTGAGGATTAGTTATTAAATGATGAGGGTAAAGAGGAGAGAGAATTTTGGAAGGAAAATATACCACAAACAATGTTTGCTGGTTAACACACTTTATATTTAACAAAATAATTTTTTAATAATATAGTCTTTTACACATCAAATATTGTTGCTAGAATCCCCGTTTTACAGTTTAGTGTTTAGTTGTGTTTTTTTTTTTCTCACTAGTTTTCAGGCACACCATTTTTCAAAGATTTTAGAAACTGAATCGTTTTAAACAGGCAATAGCTGACAAACAGGATGTTGATCCCTTATTTAAACAAAGCTGTAGTTAAAGCCGAGAACCAAAGACGAGGAGGAATGGGAGACAGAGGGGACAGTGGGACTGCAAACAAAGCCTTCAAAAGAGAAAAAGAAAACAAAGCAAAACAGATGAGACCAGAACTCTGTTGTTCAGAGTTTGGAAAGAATTTCTCAATGACCTGGGTAGAAGGAAATTGTAAAATGTTTATCGGTTTATGAGAAATTCTGTCACAGTATAGATTCATCTCTCCCTAAAGGGAGAAAAATGTCAGTGCTACAATGTCTTAAAGGAAACAGCTTGTAGTGAAACTCAGAGGAAAAAGAAAATCCAACAACAGCAATAAAAAAAAAAAAATCCCTCTCTCTGGCTGGTAACAGAGACCACAGAGCCGCCTTCATTCAGCAAACTCTCTGAAAAGAGCTTCTTGATGGAGATTACACTCCATTCTAGTAAGTTCTTGCTGCAACTATCACTGTGCCAAGACTTTGATGCAAATTGTTTGAACCCTGGATCCCCAGTTGCACTCTCTGTTTCCTAAAAAGGACATAGTAACTCCTTAATAATAGATAGGGTACTATGCTACATGGGTCTATTAATGATATTTTCTGGGTTTCAAACCTTATTCCTGTCATTTATTATTATTCTTTCTTTTCAAGAGTGTGGATTTTTCGAAGCTGGCACCAGGCAACCTCAGGGCAAAGAAAGCTCTATAATACATCTCTGTCTAGACACAATCTGAAGTACGGAATGCCTTTACTTTGGAGTGCAGGAGTAAATCATGCAGGATTGTTCATGAATGATTCATGACTGTCTATATGATGTATCCATGGTGGCAACAAAAGGCACCAACCTTGCTGCAAATTGGTGTTCTAAGGGAAGGCGGCGTGATGTTCTTCCTCGGGTGGGGCCGGCATGGCCCCATCATACACAAGTGCAGTGTATGTGAGAATTGTCAGGTCCAATGCGTCAACACGTTAATTTTGGAAATGACAACTCTTTCTTGAAGACTGGAAGAGCCTCCAGGGAGGAGAGGCTGACCATTTTAAATGAAAACCCAGTTGATGAGACTAAATAAGTGTGTCTTGAGGGTTGGACCTATGGCAACAGATGCATCAATCCACTGGGAGAAGACTGACCTCGCTCCCTTGGGGCTGCTGATTGCACATGTCCCAAAGGGCTTAGAGGCTCATCAAAGCCACGGGCTCAGCCAGAGCTTACTCAGTGTGCCACCCTGGCAGAAACCACCCTGGACTGATTATTCTAAATCACGGATTCTCAAGCAGGCGACATTTTGTCCCCTCCCTACTCCTTGGGGACATTTGGCATGGTCTGGAGACAATCTGTTGTTACAACGAGGGTGTTGCTGTTGGCATTTAGTGGATAGAGGCCAACAATGTTGTTAAACATCCTAAAAGATGTGCCAGACAGCCCCCTCCCCGCCGCCCCCCTACAGTGAATCATCTGGCCCAAAACGTCGACAGAATTCAGCTTGAGAAACCTTGTTCTGGAATGCGGCACTCCACGAGAGCTACGGCAAAGCCCAGGCTGGGCTGGGAGTGGAAAAGGAAAGAACACCGGGAATGAAGACAACCTTAAAGTTTCCTCAAGGACCCTGCCAGATCTGCGCCAGGGTTTTCAAGACAGGAGAGCAGGATAAGCAGCTAACTATGCCATGTGATTTCAAGAATGGCCAAATATGCACTTGACTAGAGGTGGCATCCAGATACCCTGTGTATTTTATTTGTTTTGTCACTATACGAGCAGCATTACCAGGGCAACCTTGAGACGCTTCAAAGGTTCACTTTAATTGTTCAGTATCTAATATATACATTTTAAAAAATGTTCAACAAATGGAATTGTATTGTGCAAGACTCACTCTACCCTAATCTTTAATTTAAATCAGCACTTGAGGTGGAAAGAGTGTCCTGAATCTGTGTGTTAGACCTAGGGCTGAGTGGTCATTACTAAAACATGGCAAACACAGTCCCAAACCATAAAGACTGCCTGTGGGTACTCCTGGCTTTCAGCCAAATCTGAACTCAAAAGCCAGGAATTTCCAGAAGGATTCAGATTCACAGTGGGCCTACTCACCCTGGTTCTGGTATGGAGAATGCCAGGTGACAGAGTGGGTGTAGAGTGTTGAGTTACAAACCGAACCAAAATTTGGCATCATGAGAAAGTCGGGTGATTAATGCTACAATTGTGAATTCCTGGCTCCCTTTGGATGCTATAGTCAAGCTCGTGGTGTTCTTCACGTATTAGTTTTTGATTGGCAGTTTCAAGGTTTTGTGTCTGAAATGTGTGGTTTGTAAGAATTAAATTGTGACCTTCTGCATACTGCACCAAGCACCAGCTCCCCGCGCTGCCCCAACAGTGGGTCCAGCTGTATGTACCCCTTGTTTTCTGAGCCCTGCAGGGCGTGTTTCCCCCGAGGGGAGTGATGGGTTGGATGCATTTGCATCTTCCTGGCCAGGAAGGGTCCTCACCCCTGATATTCCTCTACTAAAGCTTATATGACACCACTCCAAACTTAACTGTGCAGTCAATTCTGGCCCCTTAGACTCTAAATATGAAAAAGAAATTCTACAAGAGAAAAATGCCATGGGTGATGATGTACAGAAGAGTAAAAATGAAGCAAGTCGGTGGACGATGAGCTGGCAGGCTAGAGGTGTCACCAGAGAAGGAGCCCGTACAAGGCTGTTTCTTCCTTTTAGTTTCAGAAATCCAGTGGTCAAGTCACCATCAAGCATGGATAATTACAAAAGCGGTTTCGATAGCTATATACTATATATATTTTATATAGCAAGAGAGAAAGAGAGAAATTTCCTCTTAGTAAAATATTCACTTTTGTCAACCCTAAAAGGTTTTGCTGGTGACCCTGTTGTAGCTGGCTGGAGTGTGTTTGTTTTGTTTTGTTTTGTTTCAAACATGTGCAGTGTAGAATCCATAGCATCCTCTCCTAAGAACTCCTCCTCGGTTGGGAATTTGTCCTACACAGTCTGCTTGCCTTGGCATTCGCGTTTTGAACACTGAGCAGGCTTCCACCAGTCCCCGTTGTGACAGTGACAGATGTTACATTCATCCACTTTCACTTCAATGCCAGCCGGGATTATTGTCGTTCCTGCAAAGCAGTTTGGACCTGGAACACACATATACGTTGATTAGTTGATTAAATCTCAGAGGCTCCCTTTTTCTCTTCCCTCCCCAACCCCAGTAAAAAAGCCAACCCCCAAAGCCGGGAATGAGTAGGTCAGACTACTTCTCTCCACAGTTTATTACTAAGGTATTTTCTAGCCATCTCCTTTAAATGTAAACCTTCAACCTCTGCTCTTTTGCACACAGCTCATATTCCCTATGTGTATTTTTTTTTTTTTTAAAGATCCAGTGCTCAAAAAATCTTATCTGTTACCGAGTACTTGCAGTTTTCTAAAGTATGATTCTATGGATCAAACTCTATTTGCTTTATCCTCTGGGGTGTAAATGCTGTTGAAGCATCCTCCGAAACTCACGTGGGGGTCTAGCGTGGTCTGCATCAGATGATGGTACCCCATGGCCTGTCCTCTCACTTCCCGTGGGGGGGGGGTAGGTGACAATGAACTCGCTCATTGCCTGGCTTCAGCACCTCCCCAAAGCCCAGTTCCTGGAATCCCCAGCTTGTTTCTTGATAACAATAAATAATTCATGGCCAGATGATTTATTCATGTCCCAAACAAGCTTTGTTAGAGGTTCATTTGATTTTTATAAATGGAGCTCCTTTAATCTGCTGGCTATCTATTTTTTTTTTTTTAAGAATGACCTAAATGGTTGGCTTTTGAAAGTCATCAGGAATTTTATTTTACTTTTTCAGATTCAGAAAAGCTTTACTGAAAATGTCACCTGCTCAGTATAGATGGATATTTTTAAAGTTCACCAATCTTAGTTTTTCACTTCTCTTTCTCTCCTTTCCCTTACTTTCCCTTCTTCCCAGTCTGCAAATGCCAATATTCGGTATTGGTGATATTATTTCTCAAAATCGAATGGAACAAAAATTGCTTCCCAAGGTGCAGTGGGGTGGTGCAAATTGCTCTTTCTTTGAAACAATTTGGTGTAAGTCTCCGAAGTACACATTTGGATAAAGAGAGGCCACTTTCCATAACCACTACAAAGTAGCATACATCAATATCAGTGCACTACTTTCACTTTCCTACTGCTTGATAAGAATTTACTAGATTATCTTTACCACCAAATAAATGAAATCAAGGGTGATTTGTAGTTCCACTTCATAATTGAAATCTTGTATAAAAATGGCAACTATGAAGTTATAATGCATCCACACAAATCTATTTAATATGCGAGGGCTTTAATCATCCATTGTTTTAGAGCTCCCAGACTTCAGTTGTGGATACACTTGCCAGTGGCCTTTGTATCCTATGCCTTTCCTTCATCTGGTGGTCAAACCTCCCAGGGTGTGTACCTGTGCCTTGTTCTCATGGAGAACCAACCAGCGAGAGTAAGAGGGATATAATGGGTCATCATTGGCAATTAAACAGCTAGCAAACTGTCTGCTTTCACCCAGGATGGTGCTTCTCATTATGATGCTATGGTTATAAGCTCCTGGCCATCCTAACTGCGGATTATTTAAGATCACTGTTTTAGAATTTAAGTCATTGATTGATAGGTTGAACGGTCTTTGGGGCTACACCTCCCTGGGAAGATTCCACATGAAATCATTAATTTGTTCTGGACCCAGAAGAGAGGGAATCTGCAGAGAACTTGGCAAGGAGGCTTTTTCAGAATGTAGTTGGTTGTCTCATGGCTGTTTTTGACAGACCTCTCTCAGCCCAGCCAGTTCTAGGCCAGCCAGGATCTGGACAGAGCCAAACTAGCTTCAGAAATCAAACACAATGACCACTACCACCTGTTTGCCTGGAGCCACCCCAGAGGAAGCCGTAGTTTCTCTCTCTACCTCCTCACTTCTAATTAACTCTCTTCACCCAATTGTATACTTTTTCCCTTAACAGGTGGGGAAAGAAAAAACAAATTGTTTCTAAATAGTGGTTCCAAAACAAAGAAGTCCCTGAAACAGGCAGAATGTGATCTACTGAAGAGTTTTCTCAGTTTCTTGAGGGGATTTGGAAACTTGTCAGCAGAATCTTAAGTGGGTGTGTATGTGTGTAAGCAGGGGCATTCTGCTGACTACAGGGGGCAGGTTCATCTCCATAGCACAATAAGAGAAAAAAGTAGGGAAGGATCTTTGTGAACGATCTCTGACAAGTCACTGTGCATGTCTTGAGAGAGAGATTTTATTAGAGCTCTAATTTTCCTATTTGCTCCTTTCTGCATGTGTTGGTGTCATACTATGATCAGTGTGTATTTGATCAGCCTCTCTAAATCATTTCTTAAGAGCACCTTAGAATTCGCTGCTTTCTCAGCTCAGAAAATATTAATTTATATGGATTGACAGAATGCAAAGAAAGATCCTTTGCACTTTGCCAGGACTGAACAAAGTCACTGCCTATAAATAACATAACCACCTCAATGGCCGACTTGGCGGTAAGAGGTATTTTACAGAATCCAAAATTCCTGTTTGATCTCATTAACAGTAATTTTATTAGCACCCTTCTGAGAATTTCAGGTGTCACTAAAGCCTCAAGTTTTTGGTTAATAGTCTTACCTTCTTAAAAGCAATTTAGATAATTGTCAAGCAGAATGGTTGGCACTATTTAGAAACTGTTCTGGTTTGGTCCTTTCCTCCTTAAGAGTAACAGCAAATGTTACTTGGGCTTCATGTGTATGAGTGTGCTATGTGAGCTTCTTCTTTTATCTATTCTCTTTATTTTCTTTGGGAGATGCTTTATTTTTGTCTTGGTTTGTGTGGAAGAATAAGTTGCTTAGAAGAGTAAACTCAATGGCAAAAACAACATATCTAGTGAAGAAGACTTGGAGAGATTCCAGAGGGGAACAGTGAAATGATTAAACTGAAGGCTGGCAAAGAGGACTTGTGAGAAAAGGTTAAAGGGGTTGGAATTATTTAATCTTGAGAGAGAAGACAGGAATAACTCAATAACTCTCAGGGAATTAAGGCTTATTATGTGAAGAATAGTCACCAACTGTTCTTTCTTTTGACACCTAAAATAAGAGGAGATGGAGATACATCGATTCTCAAGGAATTGGAAACACACACACACACACAGACACACACACAGACACACACACAGGGATCGCTCAGAGAAATGAGAAATGAGTAGCCAGCTGTGTGGTGAGATCTCCTCTCTTAGACATCTTTAAGAACACAGGAGGTGTCATCTGTCAGGTATGTTTGAAATTGTCAGCTCCTTAAAAATAAGAACTGAATATCTGTCATTATTCATGGCCCAAGCCTAATACTGTATTTGGCACATATTAAAATCTCAGTATATCTTTAACTAGATTAAATAGTATGAACTAGCTAGTTATATAATGGAAGCAAAATTATTTCCTGAACTAAAAGATCACACCTTACATATATATCAGGCTTAGTCCTAGTAATGTTGGTATAGAAATATTTGTCAATTAATAGTAACATAACAATAATTTCTTGAGCACTTCATGCCAAGGATATGTCTCATTTAATCTTTCCAATTAGCCATGTAAGGTGCACATTCTTACCCTTAGTGTACCTTACATGGTTTACATGGCTATCTCTGAGCCCCAGAGATAGAAAATAACTTGCCTGAGATCACATGTCTAGTAAGTGGCATCAATGGGATATGAACTCAAATTTCTCTGATCTATAGAATGCTTTTAATTGTCCAAAAAAGAGGCAGATGCCTAGGAGCTCATTGCTGGCTTCCATTGCCCAGATCCTGAGCTTCTGATCAGAATTTAGAAGTCCAGTTGGGTTTAGAATTGAGGATGCATGCTGAGTTAAGAAACTTGATGGCTAAATAGAGGTGAGACTGTTTTTCTATAGATCTTTATCAGATTTGTTGGTTTTATACTGTGTAATCTTACAGTCTCCAGAAAACAAAAATTAACCACTAAAAGAAATTTCCCATGGAGAAGATGCTTGGATAGCGAGGCTTTGGTTTTCCTTTGGGAAGCAGCAAAATTCCCAGTGGTACTAGAAGTATATCAACTGAGAAGCAGAATGAAAGTGAACTGTGACTCAGGAGTCCTTGTTCAAGTCATGGTTCTGTGATTATCTATGTGACCTTAAGCAAGCACTGTGTAACCCAAATACTAATGGGTCCCCATATGGTCTAGTCTCAGGAAGGATTCATATTTTTGGAAATGCAATAAAACTGGAAAGGCAATTCAAATATTTACTGGGAGTTGGAGCAAGGAGGGAAGAACGAAAAGCAGATTAGGGATACTTATACATAAAAAAAATTCCATGAAACATAATTTTCTCTATTATTCTGTACTTCTGTAAGTACTTAATTTGCACACTTATACAATAAAAACTGGTTTGTAAACATTTTCTTTTCCATATTGAAATTATTCAAAATAAATCTTCTAAGGGAGAGCAATATATGAAATATATAAAAGCAGAGCTTCTCCGGTGAGCTTATGAAGCATCTGCATAGAGTATGGGGATCAGAGGGAAAGAAAGCATTTGGAGTGATCTCTTCCAGCTTCAGTAATCGAAGAAACCAGGAGAAAATAGATTCTGTCATATTTGTGGTTGTAAGAACTGAGCAGATTTGCTCAGCCACTAAAGTTCTCTTTTTGGCTAAGCCCTGAAATTTCCTGCATTATAGGGTACATAGAAACTACATAGAAAAGGAAATCTATAGCTACTCTGATCACATCTCCTACAGATCCATGCTTGCTTATGATGTTAAACATCACATTGGTTGCATGGAGGAACAAATGCATGATCTGAAATAAGGTTGGGAAGGAGAGGATCTCAGAGTTGTGGGAGGTCGTAACAGAGAACTTGACCTATGGGTCCATGGAAAGATTTGTGTGTGGGGGGGGGGAGAGGTGAGGATGTGACTCACTGAGGAAGCAGAAAAAGCCATGGGGTTAGAGTGATGTATGTAGTAAGAAGTCATTGGGAGAATGGTGGTGTGCTGGAGCTGGTGGCTCATATTGGCTTGCAAGAGCCAATTATTAAGTATTCAGGAATTTTATGATCTTGTTGACGTTATTTTGCCAATGGAAAGCCATTGAAGC